CCATGGGGCTCTTCTCCTGTTTGGTAGGAGGAGCTAAAAGGCTGTTCTGATGTTGACGGTTGCCAAACCCTGGTCTGAGGCAAGTATAATGTGAAAGTAAAGCGACTGGTCTCAGAACCCTGTGAAACAAACTTCTGCATGTGAAGAACAGAAAATGTTCTGAAACATGGAACGAAATATGTAACAAAACCAGTCTCTCAGTTATAATTAGAGTTCCATGTAGAAACTCCATGTGTTTTACTGTTACAACTTTTTGTATTTGCTTAATTCAGGATTACGGTTTAATGAAAATAGCTTATATTTTTTTTCCCCCATGTTAAAAATGAGTCGACACATTTTATTGCGCAGCATTATAAAAGTCAACTACAGATTATTCAGAGACTGTCTTTTGCAACTTCGTGTGTGATCCAGTATGTGACAGGAGTGCTGGACCTTTTTCATATATAAATGAAATACAATAGACACTGTTTTTAATGCATCTATCCCAAATTAGATCCTGATTCGTCTTTAATGGTGAGAGAGTGAAAACGTCAGTTTGTAGTAGTTTGTTGGAAGTTTGGGTTTAAAAGGGTTGGAAAGAAGGTCAGTGGAGCATTTTTCAGAAAGTAAATCTTGACAAGTATTTGATGTATGAAGCTAAAATTTCACAGCACTTATTATTTATGTTCAAAGTTTTTGCACGATAACATTTTTGTACAAACTGGAGACGGCCGAGTAGAACTACAACTTGAGACGGAGTCGCCCTTACAGAAGAGAAACAGTCTCAAACATCAGCCGGTAAAATATTCGCTGTCAAAATTCTCCGTGCTGGCTTTTCTTAAGGCCTTTACACACATAAGAGGTAAAATTTGTGCAAATATTTTGCATGTAAAGTGTGTAAACAGGACAAAAAAGGCCCTTTAATCTGACCTCCTTGGCATCCATGACAGTTCCCACACCGACAGTCAGAGCCATCGTGGGAACCTTGGAGAGGTCGTTGCCAAAGAAACGAGCATTTGCCACAATGGTGTCCTTTGCGAGGGTTTTCACTCTCGTTCTGGAAACCAGGCTGGAGCCAGGCTCGTTGAACGCTATGTGACCATCAGGACCAATACCTACAGAACAAAATTCAACAGCATAAAATGAAAAGGTTTACAATCATTCGAAGAATGACTTGATCCCTATGACATAGTAGTAGGTGCACATAGTTTTTTAACTACTTCATTCCTTTAACAACACAGTCAAAGATGCGACGGCTACATATTTTTCTAATTTCATCTAAAGCGGCCGAGGGAATTCAAACGTTTCATTTGCCACAATCAGCCAACCTTACTGTTCAAAAAGCTCTTACGCCATCTGACCCTGAGTTTATAAGAGAATTACTCGTTCTCTGGCGCCTGGCTGTGTCCCTACGCATTTCAATCAGACTGTTATTGACCCTGTTTTTAAAAAGTACAGTGCATTTATGTGGACCTCAGATCCTGAGGGCTTTAAGGGGCGCATCGAGTGCTCATGCTTGTGTTGCATCTGTCCCCTCAATCACTCTCTTATAACACCTCATACACTAAGGCGAACCAACACATGCAACCAACAGGCCACTTTTAAAACAGACAAGCAGGGAGGAGAGCAGGTGGATCTTCTTCCACCCCACTTTCCTAAACCCTGTCTGGGGCCGGGATGGCTGTGCAGGGGGCGCTGCTGCATCTGGGGGGGGCACCTGTCTGTCCGCACTTTAGAGGGTGGGTGGATGTGGAAGGATGCGTCTTTGTGCAGTTTCTGTGTGTGTGTGAATAAGCCTGGGTCACGGTGGCTGTAGCTCAGGAGCAGGTCATCTACTGATTGGAGGGTTTGATTCATGGCTCCTCCAGTCTGATGCCAAGTATCCTCGGGCAAGATACTAATGCCAAGTTGCTTTCCGATTCATGCATCGGAGAGTGAATGTGTGTGTGAATCTTAGCTAGGAACCACTGAAAGCACATAAGAAAGTGCTTGTGTGAATGAGGCATAAAGAGCTTTGAGTGCTCTGGGAGAGTAGACAAGCACTATATAAGAATCAGTCCATTTACCTCCTGCGACTCTCTACTGGTCATTGTTCACATTATATATGCTTGTCTAAGGATCTTGGAAAGAAACCGGCTGGACTTAAGTTTTATTTTTAAAGACACTTAAAGAAGCCGAGTCGCTGTCTTTCCAGGCTCCTTAGACTGCCATGACCTGGATAACTGAGAACCTACACAGACGTTATATGTTTCCATGTGGGCACATCCTACCTTTGAACACATCTCATACCATTGTTATGCAGATGATATTCAATTGTCACATGTCTTTTAAACCCCAGAATATAACCAAACGATCCATCATTGAAACCTGCATCCATGTCCCAAAGAACTGGATGACAGCAAATTATCCGTCTTTGAACAAACGCAAAAAACTGAAGTTCTGATCTTTGCCCCTGATAACTTTGTTCCCACAGGAATAAAAAACGTTCAGTGAGAAAAATCTGGGCTTGGGAAAGCATGTTGGCCATCTCGTTCAAAGCTGATCATCTTTCCTGTTGTTGTGTCTCAAAGTCAAATGAAAATGATTACGCATGCTTTTCATCTCTTCATTCATTGACACCATGTGACACATGCGAACTTCAGTGATCCTTTCAGAGCCCTCCACGGTCACATGACTCCACATATCATTGAACTGCTTCAGCCATACAGCACTTAATAAATAAACCTTACTTACTTACATGATGCAAATTTAACAACAGAGCAAACAACATGGAACAGAATTTGTAAACCAAACAATTTGTAACAATAAAGCCATTTTTGGCTGTTTGCCACAGCCGGTGTGTCCAGTGACCATATATTAAATTATCTGGCCACTGGGCACATAAGTAATGCTATCTAGCACGTTAGCATAAACACTGCTACATTCAAGAAGAGTAAATATTGATGGATGATGAAGAAACGAAAAAACTAGTTCAAATGAGGAGCTGTCTGTGATAGACTCAAGCACAGAAAAGAACAACTGCTTTGAGTTCAGGCAACTTTGCACAGTAACAGCGAACGAGATGTGGCAAAGGTACAGTTTACTCTAAGCTAGCAGGTTTTCCTTCTAATCAAAGATTAAGTCAAAGCTTAGAACTCCAAATCAAATTTTATTGTTTTAGCTTTTGGGTTTATCTTCTATTTCTTTGTATACCATTGGTGTATTACTTATATTAATAATATCCCAACAGAAAAACGCCACTCCACTTGTGCAGAGATAGAAACAACAATAATAATAATAATGTAGTGAAACAGCCACACTCTGCAGTCACAACACTTTCACAAATAGTTTGCATACCACGCAGCGCTGCTGTGCAATCTATATTAAAAGCCACACGTCTGACCTCCAACAAACAACTCGATTCCTCCAGCTTCAGCGATCTTCTGCTCATAAGCCTGACACTCCTCCTCCAAGTTCTGTGCATTTCCATCAAGAATGTGAGCGTTGGCTGGATCAATGTCAATGTGCTTGAAGAAATTGTTCCACATGTAGGAGTGGTAACTCTCCGGATGAGCACGAGGTAGACCTGAACAGCAAAAACGTGTTTACTGAGAGTGAAGTTAGTAAGAAAAGCAGAATGAAAAAGAAATAAATAGCTCAAAGTAACTAATCATGTAGAGTATCACTCTTGATCACTCAGTTTGATGAAAATCTCTTCATACAACTAATGTTAGCACATTCTGTTACTGCTAGCCCAAAGCTACTGAGTATTTTAGTCCTGTGGACTACAATGAGAAATAAATGGTTTAGTGAGCAGTTCTGAGCTCGAGGTCACATGTTTCTGTGTCATGAAACTGTCTCTTTTTACTTGGCTAAGTCACCACTGACCTCTAAGCTGAACACATAACCTGATCATGAAGCAGTCTAAGAGCAAAGTGCTCTGTTGGGGTGATGCGGTACTATGAGGTCCTTAAGATAAAAAAATGGGACTTTGTATGCAAGGAGAAGGATTTTAAAATTCTGGATTTAACAGGGATCCAATTAAGGTAAGCTAATATGGAGATTTGTTAACATTTTAATTGATGCCCAATTATTGTGTCTCCTGCCATCTGGTGGGAGACGGCTGCATAAATCTGTCCATCTGTGCCTCATCTTTTTGTTAACACTATTAGAATGAAATCACAGATACAAGCAGAGGAAATTAACTTTCTCTGAAAGGTGGATGGGCTCCCCTTAGCAACAAGGTAAGTTCAGTCCTTCAGGAGGGGTTCAGAGTAGAGCCGCTACACGACATCGAAAGGAGACAGCTAAGGCTGGCGCCTCCTGGATAAGTTGCTCTGGCCGGGCACGTCCTACCGAGATGAGGCCCGGCATCGGTGCTGCGCATGTAAGCGCCATTGAGCAGTCTTGTAGGAATGGGGTCTAATAGACACACTGGAGGATGTGATCAGAGAGAAAGAGTCTAAATAAATATCAATAGGTAAGTATCAATTATGAATATTTTCCCCAAATGGTTAAAATTTTATTTATGAGGAATTTCAAGAAGGTCATTTCTAGTTAAGGTTAAAGGAATGTTTGGCTCAACACCGACTCGTTATCAGTCTGGATACAGAGCTGAAGAGGAACCCACGGTTTGTCTATTCTCTCCAATCAGTGATGAGAATATGATATCCTAGCTTTATGGGGAGCTTTGTATAGACAACAAACTCTTTTGATGCCATTTCCTTTTATGCTTATGTGTTATCTGCTTTTAGGTAAGTGTTTGAGGGTTAAAACAGAGAATCAAGTAGTTCTGATTTCAGCCTGTGATGCTGTAACACTATAGTTAAGATGATAAACGTCTGTGGGTCTGTTTTAAAACTGGCTGTAACGTTTTTGTTTCTGTTGTCAACTGTGACATATTAACTTTAATGCAGCTCATTAATCACAGTTAACACACTGTCACCAGACTTGATCCAGGTGTAGAGCTGCTAGTTTACACTGCTGAAATTCTGATTTTGTCTCCCAGTACACGCCCCACCTCAAAAACACTTCCTCCAAAGAGCCCACTGAGAGTTACCCAACTAATGCTGAGGAAAAAGCTGAGTCAGTTCTCCTTTAACTCACCGACATATTCATCCATGTTAAATGTTTTCACATATTTGAATGAAATATCACCATGTCTGTAGTATTCAATTAACTTCTGGTAACAGCCATAAGGAGTGCTACCTGTGAGAAAGGAGACATCCTTAGTGGGGAAACACAGACTTCACATTTCAGGACTCATTTTTCGCAGCATGAATATTGTTGTTACTCACCTGTCGGTAAGCCCAGAGTAAAGAATCTGTCAGCAGAGGGCTTAAACTGGACTATTCTGTTGCGGATGTATTTAGCTGCCCACTCACTGGCCAGATCATAGTCGTCGAGAATGACCAGCCTCATAGTAGTAAGCTCTCACTGAGTGTGTGAGAAAAACACAAGTTGGGAAAGTAAAAACTAGCAACTAAGTGTGCGCTTAGCTTATTTCAAACGCCTCCTCCGATAAATATTTGTATCTGAACAATCTGTCGGTATTCCTGTGCAGAAAGGGCCGATGATAAACAGTCATTAGAGTCCAAAACTATACTTTAGTAAATGATCGGAAGTACTTGCTAATGCTAACAAGTCGACCGGAGCGGAATATTTCACGTGTACACGCAATACTGCACAGTCTCGGGAATGTTCCGCTCAGGATCGGGAATTACAAATCCGCAGTTAACACGAGTCTAACATCAGAGCGATAACACAGGTTACCTGCGAAATAGGTCGTTTGTCAGATCAGGAAGCAGGTGATCGTCACGTGATCCTCTGCCCGTCAGCTGATACGTGTGGAACATATGGAAGTCCGCGTGGACCAAAACATGTTCTATCGAAACACTAGCAGCAGTGTTACAAAATTTAATATTCTTCTTACGCTGAATAATGCTGGCAGTCGTTTCTCAAACCCTGCTGGTCAACAGCAGGTGACAGTCCGTGTTTACCTGCGCCTCAAAAATCCAACATCACATTGTCAGCGCGCCCCAGGGCAGCTGTGGCTACAATGTAGCTGCCATCACCCCTGTGTGAATGTGTGTGTGAATGTGTGGATGACTGGATGTCGTGTAAAGCTTTGGGGACTAAGTAAAGCGCTATACAAATACAAGCCATTTACCATTTATTGTTGATAATCTGAAGTTTTCATTTGCCAAAAATCTGACACTGACTAACTGTTCTGATGCAATCCTCCACATGTATACGTCCCCACGTGGTTGGATTTTTTTCACTGTTGTGTGACCATTATGTTAGCTCGAGGTAATTCTTTAACATCACCTGGAAGTCCTCGTTAGACTTCCCAGTAAGAAAGTTTGTTTTCAAGAATTCTTCTACTATATCTTTATTAATTACAATAAAGCTAAGAAATAATTCTGCATAGAAAGAATAAGAACAACTTTCACATGGGCCATTTGGCAGATTTTAAGACCTGCTTGGACTTACACAACCCCCAACCCAGGGGGTTTGTTCCCTCTCCCAGCATCAAACATAGGAGACATTGAAAGTTGAAACTACTACACTCAACAGAAACTATGAGAAGAAAAGAACAACTTGTGGTTCCACTAATTGATTTCACATTTAAATGGTAGCATCCAGCGCTGACATCGAGCAGAGTGAATGGCTGAGCACACTGGCTTCAAAACATGAGACCAAATTTAGATTTACATAAATGGGATACAGTAAAGTTAGTTTGTGTACATGGAGATTTTGTAGCCATCTGTCCACAACCACGTACAGTACAGCCATAGGTTTGGACACACACACACACACACACACAGGCTTATCTAGCAATGTCTGTTAGTACTCAGAACACAATTCATCCACTTTGTGCTGAAGAGTTAAATGGTGCATCTTTTATGTGAGTGCATACAGAGCACACACTAATTAATGAAGAATCTCATTTTGAAGGGAGTTTCATTTTAATGGAGAGAGAAATTATATCAACTAAAAATCACACACTCACAAAAAACACAGGTTACATATAAGTTATAAATTTATTCGCATGTCATTGAGTGAATTAAGTGTTTTAATCACAAAACACAAGTTAGTACTTGGCGCAGACAGGTTGTTAGCGAGAACAGTGGTGAGATGTTTGTGATCTTGTTGTTGATCACCAGGTTTGCACAGATCTCAGGAGGCATTTTGGCCAACTCCTCCACAGCTTTAAGGTTAAAGAGGACATGAAACGCTACACGTATAAAGGCTCTCTTCTACACAGTCCTCATTTATAAAGTGCTTTACAAACCCCAACATTACAACTAACAGTTGGATTTTCCTGTTTGAGTCCAACTAGCCAAACAACTAACAGCCACTCAGGAGGTCAAGCTGGTCACCTACTGATCAGAAGGTTGGCGGTTCGATCCCTGGCTCCCCCAGTCTGTGTACCAACGATCTTTGGGCAAGATGCTAACCCCACGTTGCTCTCCGATGCATCCATCAGAGTGTGAATGTTAGATAGTGAGCACTTAAAGTGACTGTGGCATGTTGTGTAAAATACTGTTAGTGCTCTGGGAGAATACAAAAGTGCTATATGTACCATTTAAACAGATAGTGGGCAGCATATCCTTGTTTTCTTAACATGAAACTCACCGTTGCAGTCAGGTGCACCACGAATATGACCCCTTAAACTGATTTTAGTCTTGTTAGTTATCGATCGTGTCACTAGTTTGCCAACATAAACAAATCTATTACCACAACCAACCACATGATGCAACGTGCTGTACGGACAGAAGATGGTGCTGAACATGTTTTTAAAAATCTAAGCTTGACATAGTGTCATTTCTAGCAGGGTTCGGTGTATATCAGCCTTTATGTGTTTCATGTCCTTTAAGAGACTGGCTTGACTGCTCCATTACCTTAAAGTGCTTCTCCTTTGTTGCCATGGCACTATAATTTGATTCATCGTCATGCTGGAAGATCCATCTTCAGTCTTCTGGCTGAGGAAAGGTTTTCATCCAAGACTTTACAGTACATGGCCATATCTGTTTTAGTAGGATGAACTTGTCCTGCATCTTCAGCCAGGCCTGGACAGTTTTCCATTAGGTCATAGTTCCAGGTACTTCTTTAGCACCTGCTGGGCCAGGGTTCCAAGCTATCCGAGCAGGTACTAAGATGTGAGTTCTTCACACCGCATGTCACCGATTGGCTAGTCAGTAGCATCACTCGATGAGTCATGAGAGCGCCTTGTTCACGAAAATTAAAACCACCATTTTTTTGAAACCCGGTGACGAGGGAAACTGCTACAAGAAACATCGCTGTGGTCCGAGTCTGCAGAAGAGCAACAGACCGAGCAGCAGGTGTTTTCTTGCTTCAATGTCTGCCTTGGTTGGAGCTTTCGTGTCGCATATTAATGACATTGGACACACAGAGGCGTGTGGAATGGAAGAAACTGATTCTGTGGAGTGGTGTGCTTCATAATAATCAGTCACGATCAGGAACATCTGTAGCTGATTATGGTCTGTGTGCCCATCACTGCGAGCCAGAACTCTGACGGGGTTGTTGGGGAATTAAATGGTCATTTCATTTGATGATACACAGATCAGTGGATACGCTTTGAGTGTTTTTCTGGATTTTGGTTGACATTTTCTTTCCACTAAATCACAACTATAAAAATTATCAACTGTTCATTTCTTTTTAAGTAAGCAAGCCTACAAATTCAGCAGGAGATCAAATAAAGTTTTTCCCCATCTGACTGATGACCATGTTACACAACAAACGTCTAAAGTGGCAAATGTGTTTTTTCCTGGTAAAACATGTTCGTGCTAAAGTGAAACTTGGACTGACCACTGATCAGTTCTGCAATTCAAATAACCTGAGGAAACATCTGTTGACTTCTCTTTAGAAGCCACTAAAACTTAAAAGATTCCACTCTAATAAAACCTGTAATCATGAAGAATTTATCAGTGTAAGGAGTTTTATAAGTGTTTGGGATAAATTAAGGTTAGCGAAAAGTTCTTTCACAAACCTGTCATTGCTCATGTTTAAGGTGTAGTAAAACTGAAGCACTCTTCGTACCTTTTTTTTTTTTAGATTTCGTGACAGGATTTCTTTTTACCCCCAGAGTCGGTGGGAAACATCCCACTCACAAAAATATACACTAGTCTTATATATATTTTCCTTTTTTTTTTTAAGTTAATGTAAAACCTTCATCAAAAACAAACAAATACACAGAAACAGTAACTGTCATTTATAATTTAATTCTGTAACATCTTGTGAGGAATGCCAACAGATATCCATGAACTCAATGCATCAGAGACAATCTTGGGGGAAGT